TTGGCAAAGATGCGTCGATTGCATGGGTGATTACTTCGAATAACAGAAATAAAAAAGTTTGAAAAAATAAGTACTTTCACTTATTGCATACAAAATTGGCAATTTCATAGGTAAAGACCTAATATTATGGTGACAGAACTTACAAGGTTGACAGAGAATGTAACTGCATGTTTATAAAATAAAGGTGAAGTTAAATTAAAAAAATCCTTCGCCGCTTCCTGAGTGTTGTGTGTTTGATCTTTGTTTCCGTTTTATATATGTTTGTAAAGTCCCCAGCGCCTCAAATAATACTCCTAGTGAGGGGGAAGTCTTTAAAAACATAGATCAAAAAATGCATTTTTTAGGACAAGATGAATAGAAAATACATCTTATACAAATACCATCTTAAAATCTACTTTGAATTCTACGATTCTGAAGTTGCTCAGCGCAGTAGGAATTGTTGTTATAAAACATAGCGAAAAATGTCAAATTTGAAGTGCTAATAAATATAAATGTTCTCTCTTCATTAGTCCAAATGTAATTCATATGTAGACTAATGACGACATGCTTATCTTAGGACAAAACCGGCTGAGCAGGTGTGCAGAATGTTACATTTAGGTAAAAAAAATAAAATAAAGTCGACAGGTGATTGTTTAAGAAAAGTTCATCTTTGATCTCGAAGTTGCCAGTATACTGAGGATGAATAAAGTTTGAATAATATATAATAGGTAAATATTTAATTGTCACGATGATGTTTAAAATGTTAAAAATCCTAACAAACTGCACAACTGACTACACTACTACTACGTGATTGCACGGATGGCGTAGTGGTTGAAGCGGTTGCCACGCCGCTCACTACTACGCTGAGTCCGAACCCCACATGGGACGACACTTGGTGTGATCCATAAACTGTTGTTCTGAGTCTGGGTGTTATTTGTGTCCGTTACATGTATGTTTGTAAAGTCCCCCGCTACACAGGATATATTCATGATGCGGTCTTAAAATAAAAAGAAACTTTTTTATTTTTCATAAAGGTATATTTATACACCTAGTAGCTTTAGCCTGTGGCTCCGCCCGCGTGTATGTCGGAAATCGCGTTAAAAAGTAGCCCGTTCCTCGCTGATAATGTAGCTTTACATTGGTGAAAGAATCTTTAAAATCGATTTAGTGTTTAGGCGTGAAAGCGAACAAACTAACTCACTTACACATTTATAATATGAAGTCTTAAATTTTAGCCTCACCCGACCCCGTTCAGCGGTCTATTTCTGGAGCATAACAGCGGTACAGAAAGACACCATTGCACCAAAGCCCTCCACACCCACCAGCATAGCAGTAATAGTTGCTGGCGGGGCAGTTTCTCATCCAGACCCATAACTTTTGTAATCCGTGTCAGCGTCCATTACCAAAAGCATAAAATTGTAGAGTTTTCTTAATTAAATTTGAATGAATTAACAGTAAATTTGCATACTGTTATCGATATATTTAGTGCCAACAGTATCATATCTCACTAGATTATGGACGAGAATTAGACTACATTTAGATTTATTTAGATTTATTTAGATTACAATACATATCGTGTTAGCAGTTCCGGTGTCAATGAAACCATTCTCCAATTTATTGTTCAATTTAGAGCTTCGATATAATATATTATAACAGTACCGACGATAAACGAGACTTTTTCCAGTAGCTTGCGATTTCAGTGGGTGTTAGATATAGGCAGTCCTGAGGCATATTTTATCATCATCATCCAAGTTTATCATCCATTATAGAATATTATTTTATATTAATATAATACCTTTCAACACATTCAACCTCTAATTTCAAATTGCTTATGATTAATTAAAAATATTTACAATGAATTTTAAAATACAGAAAAATCTATTATTTTTAATAGCAACATAGACTTTTCTATCTGGATATCTAAGACTCAACGCCATTTACTTTCAAACTAAGTAGAGCTTGTATATACTATGAAAGCTAGATTGATTACTTTCTTTTTAAATACATACATAGTATTTATAGAAACCACCAAACTCCGAAACAAATATTTGCAGATCATACTAATTTTTTATCCGATCCGGACATCGAACCTTAGCACAGCAGTCACACACGCTACCACTGTACCACCGCGGCAGTCTCTACGGTGCACCAAGGCAGTTTCTTATTATCGTAAAAATATGTGTTATAAGGTGACAGGTGACTGTGACTGGTGACTGATCAGGCCGGTCCATATGCCGAAGCCTGACTCTCCCACGGTAATGTATGCTAAGTGTGCAACACAAGCGTGTAAACGGGGTGTTTGGCTCGGCTCGCGTAAGCTCGTCGTCGATTGGTACCAGGGTCGGTTTTTAAACACAGTTCGAAGGAAGCTCGCGGCAAGCGTTTGCGACGTATTTACTCAATTTGATATTACAAGTATTGTATTTGAGCAGTCGGGAATAAACATTAAGTCTTAATGCTCTACTGATTGAGCAGTTTGGTTTAGTCGAAGCTTGTAGACGTTGCCAAGCCCCGGCATGCATGTAAACTAGGCATAATATAATCTTCATTATCGAATCCACAATATTTAGAATGCAAGTTCGACATTTTACTTACAATACTTGCTTAATTAGTCCGTACCTACGATTTCATAAATTGTAATAAAACTTTCTCCGTTATTGTCTGTTCTAAATTTGTGCCCGTACTTAAACTAGTATCAGTACATAAAGTGGAGCCGTATAAAAAATCGATATATTGAATCGATATAAATGATCGATTAGTTTTTGTTGAAGAACCGGTGTGTTGACCCCGTATCGATATAACTGTACTCAGGACCTTATGCTAAGGTTACCTACTAGATTATAAAAACAAATATAGAACTGATGATTATCTCAAAAACAGGTTAAAGTAGGTACTTTTTCACATAACGACTAGTAGAATGTGTATAGGCAATTGAAAATAATCAAGTTTTAATGAATTCACTAAACAAGTTATACCTAACTGTTATAACAACCAGATAATTTAAAAAAAAACAATGCAGCACTAAATACAGGCCTAAAAATGACAGTATGAAAACTTTAAAACACATTTGTGTGAATACATTAATAAAATAAAGTTTAAAATATAAAAAAGCGACACTCTCTCCTAATCTTTCCCTCACTGCTGACGATCGCGTCAACCATCTATCACCATCAGTTGCGATCAGTCACTTGGCGGAGTGCGATACTTACCGGTATCTCCAGCTGTTCAAAGATCTGGCCTGACTCTCTTTTGTGACTCCGGGTCTTTTCCTTTCCTTGCTTTTACAGTCCCCTATTTTCTTTTTATACAAACCTCTATCTAGTTTCAAACTAAGTAAAGCTTGTACGTACTATGTAAGCTAGATTGACTGATAGAATACCTAAATACTTTTTTTGTAAATACATATGTACATATTATACATAGAAAACACCCAAACTCCGAAACAAATATCCGACCCAGGAATCGAACCCGAGACCTTCAGCACAGCAGTCGCACACGCTAGGTGGTCATCGTTACGACGAGTAAAATAGGGACACAGTATCTTGTAAAAATCTACCATAGTAGCGAATCTAATCATGATGGTATTTAATTTACTGTATAAAAACTTTTTATGTTTGAAATCTCAACTTCAAAATTTTAATCCCTGTAAAAACTTCCTTGCACGTCAATCTACTTCTTACTTGACCATTTTTTTTAACAAATACGAGTGCCTCATGAATATAACCACGTTACATTAAGTAGGTATATACTCGTAATATAATCAATGATTCAAAATATGTTACGACTTGACATTTGACCCTGTGGTACCGTCATATTAGCGCTGTCATGGTTTGACAGTGATTTTAGCTATCTGAATTAAAGTGTAATTTAAGAGCATTAGCTGTGGTAACGGTTTTTTACTCAATGATATAATGCTAAAGGTATATACGGATAGGAAGACATCTTGGTTTAATAACCTCAACTTCAAAAGCATAGAACCTAATACCAATACCTTTTATTAAAGGAATCTTCTAGATATAATTGCCAAATTGACCACTTATTGCATATTAAAATAAGTGCTATATCTAGGGAAAAAAAGTTGAAAAAGAATAGTTTATATAAAGTGTTTATATTTTACAAATTTTTGATATGCAAGGTACTTGTATTTTCATTATATGTTATTTTTCATCATCGCACCATAGCTTTGTTTTGTACGGTGTTCATTGTGTTCTATCCCAGAAAAGTAAGAAAAAAAAGTTGTTATGAAAGAGCATGACTGTACTCGTACAACTCTAACAATTGAGTGATTGTCAGCTCTCTTAATTGTAAACATTCGATTTAACTATCTCTTCCTCAATTCTTAACCATCCTTTTACCTATTATTCCTTTTTGCTATCGGACTCATTGACTGCTACTAATGCTTATATTGTTCCTGGTATATTTTAAATGTCTTCAAAAAGAAGATTATCTTAAAACTTCTTTTCCATTTTGGTGATATTTTAATCAAAATGAATATTTTGAACTGTATCTCAATTGGGCAAGATTTATGTACCTACGTAAAATGAGAATAAGCAAATATAAAGACATGTGACAGCAATCAACGATCGTTCATCAAAATAAATTAAATGCATATGTCCAAATATAAAATATAGCTACTTCCAAAATGCATAAATATGTTTTCTATGTCATATTTAGATTAAATTGAAATACGAATGTTATATTTTTAAACTTAAATTGAATATGACCAGAATTGAAACCTATTTATCATGATCGTTGACAGACATCTATTTTTGTTTAAAAAATAAAAAGACGCTATTGTTGTGAAGCATTATATCATCATCACTATATAACACGCTGCTTCCTACTACGCTGACTGTTGTAGGTTCGAGCCCCATACGGGACGACACTTTGGTGATCCTTTGTGTCCGTTTCATGTATGTTTGTTAAGTACCCCGCGACGCAGAATTTATTCCAAATGCGGGAGTTGTCTTTTAAGAAAAAGAATACAAAATATATAACAAAAGTTTTTTTTTAATTTACAGTTCACGTCAATATCCGAACGAGACGTGCAGCAGTTGCAAAGCACTTATGAAGGATTACTGGGGAAGATCAGACCAAATGCTGTAGGTCTAGTGGATGCCTTCGACTTTAGAGATGAGGTAATCACCATAAGCAATAATATGTAAATATGTCGTCACAGACACATACGGTTCTATTAGTTATTAACTTTTCTATGATTATAATCTTCTCACACCTCACACATGGCCGTCTTCGCCTTCCAAAGTAGGCAGAGCCTGTGCTATGGCAACCAGACTGCTGATAAACATTCGTATATATTTCCAAATACATACATATCATAGATAAATTACACCCAGATACAGAATAAATCATCGTGCTCATCACACAATTATTTATCCTGAGTGGGAATCGAACCCACGACTAACAAGCCCGTCTTATCCGATTTAAGACTTTTATTTAAAGAGAAAGTAACGTATTGTTAGTGTTACGAGTACCTACTTTATATGTTTTAATCTACTAATTAATTTTAAATACATAATAATTAAATTAACAAAGTATAAAGTCAACTAATTTGTTTTTTATTTCCTATTTTTTTTTAAATCCGTTCATTTTTTATGAACTTTTCGAAACAACTATAATACTAAAGATTTATTCCATTGAGAATAGTAAATATTTTAAAAAAACCTTGAGATTATTTAGGTGAATTGCTCTTGGTTCAAAGGTAAAAATATATCATGTATTTGAAAAAGTAAATTTTGCTATCAACCCATTTGCCTTTTATTTCTAGATTCTAAACTCGACTCTCGGAGTTTCTGACGGTCGTGTCTACGAGCGTCTCATGGAAGAAGCCCTAAAGAGCCCTTTGAACGCTGAACCAGTTAACCATAGCTTTTACAAATATCTTAAGCCCTTTATGCAGGGAAAACTATAAATATTTCTTACTTATGTATGTTTTACAACTTATTCAAGTCGTGTTATACCAATGACGGAAATATATAAGAATGTATTTTGTAAATAAATAAATCATTTTCTTTATAAAGTCTTTTATTTGATTATGGCAATCATGTTACAGTGTCATTTGCGATAAATGCAAGGCAGATTAATCTGACTTTCAATAAATAAATAAGTTAATTGAAATAAATGCGATCGGACACTTTGCAAAAACATCAAGACAAGATTTCGGTGTTGCCGGAAGTCGTCGTGATGTGGTTGCTAAGATGAGTGTGCCGATATTAAACTGATTCCTTAGACAGCTTGGGCATTAGCCAACTCATAACCATAGCTCAGTGACTTAGTTTGAGAGTTAGCAACCCTTTAAGCTGTGCTTACGGGCTACGCTCTGGCAGAAGATGCAGCGGACCCGTAACCTTGAGATTGAGCGTTAGCAGAAGTTCTTGACCCGTAGTATCCATTGTTGACGTTGGCGTCAGACTTGGCTTGACCATATGCACCAGTGTTGGCAGAAGATAAAGCAGAACCGTACTGATTGTTCGCACTTGACTTGGCTACGCCGTAACCAGGAGCATTGACATCGGCGCGTGCGTCAGCCGAGCCGGCCCCGTTTACATTGGCAGCAGACTTAGCAGAACTGAGACCAGCGGAGTTCACATTAGCACCGGCGTTTGCTGCCCCATATCCGTTGGAGTTAGCCTGAGCGTTTGCATTACCATTGCCTTGAGTTCTGGCATTAGCATTTGCAGATCCTGCAGCGGGTGTATCATAAAAAGTACCGAAACGCCAAGAAATTGTTTTTCTGTTGTTGATCTTAGCAGAGGAAGCAGCGTTTCCGTTACCGAAAACATTAGCGTTAGCAGACGCAACTTCAGCGGAGGCAACTGGAACATAAGCAGAATGGAAGACAGGAATAGCCTTCAGGTCAACGACAGCAGGCAGCACCTGAGTCGGAACCGCAATAGGGTTGGCGGAAACGACGGGATAGACAACTCCAACAGGGCCGTTAGTTTGAGCAGAGGATGATGCCGAACCTTGGCCTTGAGATTTAGCTGAAGTGCTTGCAGAATTGTAGCCAGAGTTCGCCTTAGAGTCGGCTTGTCCGTAACCACCGATGGTTTTAGAATTAGAAGAAGTAACGCCATAGCTGCCTGCACCTGTTTTAGCACTTGATTCGGCGATACCAGCACCGTTGCTCGAGGCGGAAGTTATAGATGAGTCCGCAGCTCCATTCCTAACAGCTGAGGAATGAGCGTGAGCCCCTTCGGGTAACTCGTAGGCGACTTCAGCAGGGGCAGCGAAATTCCGTTCGTAGGTAATCACTGTGGCAGGTGCAGGAATAGGATAGTAACCGCCATAATTAGCTTGGGCAACTGCTTTAGCCTCACCGATGCCAGAGTTTCCTTGCCCACCGAAGGTCTGAGCTTGTGCAATAGCTTGTTCAGGGTAGACATGTCCATCACGAGCCAAGTTATTTCCATTGACGCTTCCATAAGCCTGGGCATTATCTCCATTAGCATTGGCTGATGCAAGACTTGAACCACCGTTGAGGCTGTATGCTTGACCAATGGAGTAAGAGCGTCCATCACGGTAAAGGACACCTGCAGTGAAAGAAAATTGACAGATAAAGTCAAGGTATGGCTAGATTTTAAAATGATTGATTGATTGATGATGTAGGGATTGTGTTTTTTTTTCTGTAATAGCTACACAAAATAAAAGATTTAAAATAAAAATATATGTAACTATTATACTCACCGTTTATAAGAACCGGGCTTGAGGAGCATACTGCGAACAACGCCACAGCTACAACAAATTTCGTCGCCATCTCGATTATTATCAGATGAGAGGACACGGAAGAGTGGATGCAGTGAGAGCATTTCTCCGTGCTTATATACGCTTGCCACCCACTCCACTCCTGCGCAACAACTGCGGGTCAGTATTAGTGAACTTCACCTAGAAACTGACACTAATAAATTAAACTATGGGAAGAGGTGGTGAAGGCAACTTCTAGATATAATTGCCACATTGACCACTAATTGTTTATTAAAATATGTGCTGAATCCTTAGTTCATCTAGGGAAGAAGTTTAAAAAGAATAGTTAATACAAAGTGTTTAAATTTTACATATTTTTTTTGATATGTAAGGAACATGTCTTTTCATTATATGTTATTTTTCATCATCGCACCATAGCTTTGTTTTGCACGGTGTTCATTGTGTTCTATCCCAGAAAAAAAGAAAAAAAAGGTGTTATGAAAGAGCATGACTGTACTCGTACAACTCTAACAATTGAGTGATTGTCAGCTCTCCTCATTGTAAACATTCGATTTAACTATCTCTGCCTCAATTCTTAACCATCCCTTTACCTATTATTCCTTTTTGCTATCGGACTCATTGCTGCTACTAATGCTTATATGGTTCCTGTTATATTTTAAATGTCTTCAAAAAGAAGATTGTCTTAAAACTTTTTTTCCATTTTGGTGATATTTTAATCAAAATGAATATTTTGAACTGTATCTCAATTGGGCAAGATTTATGTACCTACGTAAAATGAGAATAAGAAAATATAAAGACATGTGACAGCAATCAACGATCGTTCATCAAAATAAATTAAATGGATATGTCCAAATATAAAATATAGCTACTTCCACAATGCATAAATATGTCTTCTATGTCATATCTAGATTAAATTGAAATACGAATGTGATATTTTTAAAGTTAAATTGAATATGACAGGAATTGAAACCTATTTATCATGACCGTTGACAGACATCTATTTTTGTTTAAGAAATAAAAAGACGCTATTGTTGTAAAGCATTATATCATCATCATTATATAACACGCTGCTTCCTACTACGCTGACTGTTGTAGGTTCGAGCCCCATACGGGACGACACTTTGGTGATCCTTTGTGTCCGTTTCATGTATGTTTGTTAAGTACCCCGCGACGCAGAATATATTCCAAATGCGGGAGTTGTCTTTTAAGAAAAATAATACAAAATATATAACAAAAGTTTTTTTTTAATTTACAGTTCACGTCAATATCCGAACGAGACGTGCAGCAGTTGCAAAGCACTTATGAAGGATTACTGGGGAAGATCAGACCAAATGCTGTAGGTCTAGTGGATGCCTTCGACTTCAGAGATGAGGTAATCACCATAAGCAATAATATGTAAATATGTCGTCACAGACACATACGGTTCTATTAGTTATTAACTTTTCTATGATTATGATCTTCTCACATCTCACACATGGCCGTCTTCGCCTTCCAAAGTAGGCAGAACCTGTGCTATGGCAACCAGACTGCTGATAAACATTCTTATATATTTCTAAATACATACATATCATAGATAAATTACACTGAGATACAGAATAAATCATCGTCCTCATCACACAATTATTTATCCTGAGTGGGAATCGAACCCACGACCAACAAGCCCGTCTTATCCGATTTAAGACTTTTATTTAAAGAGAAAGTAACGTATTGTTAGTGTTACGAGTACCTACTTTATATGTTTTAATCTACTATCTAATTTTAAATACATCATAATTAAATTTACAAAGTATAAAGTCAACTAATTTGTTTTTTATTTCCTTTTTTTTTAAATCCGTTCATTTTTTATGAACTTTTCGAAACAACTATAATACTAAAGATTTATTCCATTGAGAATAGTAAATATTTTAAAAAAGCTTGAGATTATTTAGGAGAATTGCACTTGGTTCAAAGGTAAAAGTTCAAAGTAATATGATGGTGAACGTATATCATGTATTTAAAGTAAAGTAAAGTAAATTTTGCTATCAACCCATTTGCTTTTTATTTCTAGATTCTAAACTCGACTCTCGGAGTTTCTGACGGTCGTGTCTACGAGCGTCTCATGGAAGAAGCCCTAAAGAGCCCTTTGAACGCTGAACCAGTTAACCAAAGCTTTCACAAATATCTTAAGCCCTTCATGCAGGGAAAACTATAAATATTTCTTACTTATGTATGTTTTACAACTTATTCAAGTCGTGTTATACCAATGATGGAAATATATAAGAATGTATTTTGTAAATAAATACAGCATTTTCTTTATAAAGTCTTTTATTTGATTATGGCAATCATGTTACAGTGTCATTTGCGATAAATGCAAGGCAGATTAATCTGACTTTCAATAAATAAATAAGTTAATTTAAATAAATGCGATCGGACACTTTGCAAAAACATCAAGACAAGTTTTCGGTGTTGCCGAAAGTCGTCGTGATGTGGTTGCTAAGATGAGTGTGCCGATGTTAAACTGATTCCTTAGACAGCTTGGGCATTAGCCAACTCATAACCATAGCTTAGTGACTTAGTTTGAGAGTTAGCAACCCTATAAGCTGTGCTTACGGGCTACGCTCTGGCAGAAGATGCAGCGGACCCGTAACCTTGAGATTGAGCGTTAGCAGAAGTTCTTGACCCGTAGTATCCATTGTTGACGTTGGCGTCAGACTTGGCTTGACCATATGCACCAGTGTTGGCAGAAGATAAAGCAGAACCGTACTGATTGTTCGCACTTGACTTGGCTACGCCGTAACCAGGAGCATTGACATCGGCGCGTGCGTCAGCCGAGCCGGCCCCGTTTACATTGGCAGCAGACTTAGCAGAACTGAGACCAGCGGAGTTCACATTAGCACCGGCGTTTGCTGCCCCATATCCGTTGGAGTTAGCCTGAGCGTTTGCATTACCATTGCCTTGAGTTCTGGCATTAGCATTTGCAGATCCTGCAGCGGGTGTATCATAAAAAGTACCGAAACGCCAAGAAATTGTTTTTCTGTTGTTGAGCTTAGCAGAGGAAGCAGCGTTTCCGTTACCGAAAACATTAGCGTTAGCAGACGCAACTTCAGCGGGGGCAACTGGAACATAAGCAGAATGGAAGACAGGAATAGCCTTCAGGTCAACGACAGCAGGCAGCACCTGAGTCGGAACCGCAATAGGGTTGGCGGAAACGACGGGATAGACAACTCCAACAGGGCCGTTAGTTTGAGCAGAGGATGATGCCGAACCTTGGCCTTGTGATTTAGCTGAAGTGCTTGCAGAATTGTAGCCAGAGTTTGCCTTAGAGTCGGCTTGTCCGTAACCACCGATGGTTTTAGAATTAGAAGAAGTAACGCCATAGCTGCCCGCACCTGTGTTGGCACTTGATTCGGCGATACCAGCACCGTTGCTCGAGGCGGAAGTTATAGATGAGTCCGCAGCTCCGTTCCTAACAGCTGAGGAATGAGCGTGAGCCCCTTCGGGTAACTCGTAGGCGACTTCAGCAGGGGCAGCGAAATTCCGTTCGTAGGTAATCACTGTGGCAGGTGCAGGAATAGGATAGTAACCGCCATAATTAGCTTGGGCAACTGCTTTAGCCTCACCGATGCCAGAGTTTCCTTGCCCACCGAAGGTCTGAGCTTGTGCAATAGCTTGTTCAGGGTAGACATGTCCATTACGAGCCAAGTTATTTCCATTGACGCTTCCATAAGCCTGGGCATTATCTCCATTAGCATTGGCTGATGCAAGACTTGAACCACCGTTGAGGCTGTATGCTTGACCAATGGAGTAAGAGCGTCCATCACGGTAAAGGACACCTGCAGTGAAAGAAAATTGACAGATAAAGTAAAGGTATGGCTAGATTTTAAAATGATTTTGGGGTTGTGTTTTTTTTTTCTGTAATAGCTACACAAAATAAAAGATTTAAAATAAAAATATATGTAACTATTATACTCACCGTTTATAAGAACCGGGCTTGAGGAGCATACTGCGAACAACGCCACAACTACAACAAATTTCGTCGCCATCTCGATTATTATCAGATGAGAGGACACGGAAGAGTGGATGCAGTGAGAGCATTTCTCCGTGCTTATATACGCTTGCCACCCACTCCACTCCTGCGCAACAACTGCGGGTCAGTATTAGTGAACTTCACCTAGAAACTGACACTAATAAATTAAACTATGGGAAGAGGTGGTGAAGGCAACTTTTAGATATAATTGCCACATTGACCACTAATTGTTTATTAAAATATGTGCTGAATCCTTAGTTCATCTAGGGAAGAAGTTTAAAAAGAATAGTTAATACAAAGTGTTTAAATTTTACATATTTTTTTTGATATGTAAGGAACTTGTCTTTTCATTATATGCTATTTTTCATCATCGCACCATAGCTTTGTTTAGCACGGTGTTCATAGTGTTCTATCCCAAAAAAAAAAAAGAAAACAAAAGGTGTTATGAAAGAGCATGACTGTACTCGTACAACTCTAACAATTGAGTGATTGTCAGCTCTCTTAATTGTAAACATTCGATTTAACTATCACTGCCTCAATTCTTAACCATCCCTTTACCTATTATTCCTTTTTGCTATCGGACTCAAAGCGACTGATACTTATATGCTTTCTGTTATATTTTAAATGTCTTCAAAAAGAAGATTATCTAAAAACATCTTTTCCATATTTTATTCGGTGATATTTTAATCAAAATAAATATTTTGAATTTTCTCAATTGAGTCAGATTTATGTACGTAAAATGAGAATAAGAAATTATAAAGACATGTGACAGCAATCAACGATCGTTCATCAAAATAAATGAAATGCGTAAATATGTTTTCTATGTCATATTTAGATTAAATTGAAATACGAATGTTATATTTTTAAAGCTAAATTGAATATGACCAGAATTGAAACCTATTTATCATGATCGTTGACAGACATCTATTTTTTATTTAAAAAATAAAAATACTCTATTGTTTTAAAGCATTATGTCGCATGCTATCAGTTTAAAAAAAAACACTCCAATAAGAACGTCAACAATAATTTTATTTGTTTTCCAAAGCACGAGTTAGATCCTCTTATTGTATCATGCCTTAGAAAAGTAATACAATAAGACATAACATAATTTTATTAGAATTATAAAATATTTTATTAGAATTATTAAAGTTATTTTCGTAATGTCAATGACTTCGAGTTGGTGTTTATCAAACCATATCAAACGTCCCAGTGAATTTTTTAGATGTTCATTTAAATTTTACTGTACAACGATTTCTAATGCAAGTATAAATTAAATAATACTTAACAGAAAACTGGGTTTAATTATGCAATTCAGAAGTTCAAAGTTACAGTTTACAGGAAAGCGTTTAAAAAGTTTGGAATTGATCTTAAGGTTAAAAAAATAATTGTGTGTGTGCAGTGTTGCAGTTGTTTATTACAACTATGTTTGTCCATTTGGAATTGGCAGATAACTTTTCCTTTTACACCAACCCTGAAACAGTTTTAATATTCAAGTATTACCTTTTTTTACACATCTCACACACGGCCAACAAACTAGGCACAGAACTTATTTCAGAACACTGAGCTATTTAACAGAAGTTCATTTTAATATCTACGTAAATGACCACTGATCTGTTCACATCAACAGCCTATAATAGTCCACTGCTGGACATAGGCCTCTCCTTAGATAGGAGGTTTTGGCCTTTCGCGAAAATTGAAATTTGCCCATATCTTTTTATCGTGTTAACTCAGGACCTTGATTTTTATACACCTAATAGGGACCATAGACTTTAGTATCTGGTATAAATTTCAACTTGCTAGGTCTACCCTTTCCTGAGAAAATCGGTGGTGACACACGGACAGACGGACAAGAAAGTGGTACGGAACCCTTTTTTTTTCCCGGAGAGTCCTAAACCTCTCCCGGTCCCGCTACGCCGTCTCTTTAGCTACGGAACCCTAAAAAAGAATACAAAACATTTAAAAAAACCATTTTTTTATTTGATATCCGAACGAGACGTGCATCAGTTGCAATGCACTTATGAAGAATTACTGGGGAAGATCAGACCAAATGCTGTAGGTCTAGTGGATGCCTTCGACATCAGAGATGAGGTAATCACCATAAGCAATAATATGTAAATATGTTGGTACAGACGAATACGTCTCTATTAGTTATTAACTTTTCTATGATTATAATAATAATATAATAATAACTTCACACATCTCACACATGACCGTCTGATTCCAAACTAGGCACAGCCTGTGCTATGGTAACCACACTGCTGATAAATATACTTATATATTTCTAAATTCATACATATCATAGATAAATTACACCCAGGTACAGAATAAATCATTTTGCTCATCACAAAATTATTTATCTTGAGTGGGAATCGAACCCACGACCTCCGGCTTAGCAGTCAGGGTCACTAACCGTAAAGTAACGTAAGTGTACGTGTAAGTGTTACGAGTACATTACAGTACACTTTACATGTTTTGATCAATTAATTAATTTTAAACAAATAATAATTAAATTTACAAACTACTAATTTTAAACTAATTTGATTTTTATTTCCAATTTTTTTTAAATCCGATCATTTTGCATGAACTTTTGGAAACAACTATAATACTAAAGATTTATTCCATTGAGAATAGTGAATATTTAAAAAAAGCTTGAGGTTGTTTAGGTGAATTGCTCTTGGTTCAAAGGTAAAAGTTCAAAGTAATATGATGGTGAACGTATAACATGTATTTGAAACAGTGTATTTTGCTATTAACTCATTTGCCTTTTATTTCTAGATTCTAAACTCGACTCTCGGAGCTTCTGACGGTCGTGTCTACGAGCGTCTGATGGAAGAAGCCCTAAAGAGCCCTTTGAACGCTGAACCAGTTAACCAAAGCTTTCACAAATTTCTTAAGCCCTTTATGCAGGGCAACTATAAATATTTCTTACTTATGTATGTTTTGCAAATTATTCAAGTCGTGTTATGCCAATGACGGAAATATAGGTATTAGAATGTATTTTGTAAATAAATAAATCATTTTCTTGATAAAGTCTTTTATTTGATTATGGCAATCATGTTACAGTGGCATTTACGATAAATACAGGGTAGATTAATCTGACTTTCAGTAAATAAATAAGTTAATTTAAATAAATGCGATCGGACACTTTGCAAAAACATCAAGACAAGTTTTCGGTGTTGCCGGAA